GGCCAATGGTTCTCAACCTGTGGGTCATGACCTCTTTTAAGTGTATTAAAGGGCTGCGGCATTAGAAAGGTTGAGAACCACGGTCTTAGGCTCAAGCAAATCACTTGCCTCAGACTCCTGAGTAGCTGAGACTACAGGCGCCTGCCACAATGCCTGGCTATTTTTAGAGATGGGGGTCTTACTCTTGCTCAGGCTGGTCTCGAACCTGTGAACTCAGGCAATCTGCCTTCCTCGGCCCTCCAGAGTGATAGGATCACAGGCGTGAGCCACCATACCCAGCCGTGAATTTGTCATTTTTTACCAGCAAGAAGGTAATAAGGCATACTTCCCAGCAGCCTTCCTGGAAGGAGCAGGAGAGGACAAGACACTGTCCACTGGCTCAGTCTATCCCCAACCACCCCCTCCTACCCCCAGCAAAAGCCCACATCACACTCTTGGAAGAACATTTCCACATGAGCTGGAGGGCCAGACTCAACTATAAGAGAGACAATTTGAGTTGAGTTTATTAAGCTTCTCACAGACAAAGGAGCCTTCTTCCCCACAGCCAGCTAGTAGTGAGGCTGGCCAGAGAGTGGACATTCTTTTTGAGAGCTGGATAGGCCCAGGCCACACCCATACCCCCTTGGGCTCCATCAGTACTCCGGACAGCCAGCAGCCCCAGCCCCAAGCAGGCAGGTCCACCTGGCAGCACCCACTTATTAACAGCTGCAAACTTGTAGGTTCCAACTCAGGGACAGGACAGCACAGGGAGGGTCTTGGGTTTCACTCCAAGGAGGGTCCAGCCCAAAGGCAAAGGCCTTGCACATCAGGTAAAATTCTACGCTAACTTTGAGCCAGAGCTTGTGGCTTATTTCAAGTCTGAATCACAAATCTTGGGTGGCCATGGTGCCCAGCCTAATCCAGGTTCCACCGACCATTCTGCTCCCTGGCCTGTTTCCCCTCTTGTTCTGCTGAATAGGGGTGAAACTGGGTTCCTCGCAGCCATTGGTCCTATCTCTACCAACATCTAGTGCTCACAGGAAGGAACACCAGAGACCTCCACTGACCATCCAGGAAACCAGGAGGCTCAAACACTTGCCAACTGGGTATTGTGGCAATAACAAAGTCCTGCAGTGAAGCATTCTCCCACTGATCTTGCATATGCATTTGTCAAAACTCATATGCACATTCTGAACAGGTGCTTCATCATATACACATGCCCCAGCCCACCATACACTAGGCCCCTGGGTCCCTTGGTCAACACATCTGCTCCAATGCTACAGGCCCCCAGGTGCCCAGATACCACTACGGGATCTGCAGACATTCTGAAGGCCCTCAACTCTGCTACCACAAGGTGATACCCCTGGATGGATTTATCCCTGAATACAACCAAAGGACAGGGGTTTCACAGGTTCCAATCATTCACCAGGAGCATACAGTCACCAGGAGTTAGGTACTAGAAGGGCAAGCCCCTCAAGGAGTGGCAGTAAATAGGGTGCGTGGCAGTAAGGGGCCCAATCTGGCCATGCACCCCAAGGCCTCCCAGCTAGCCCCCCAGGTGCCTCAGATGTGTCTCACCTGCACCAGAACATAACAGGCCCAAAGCCAACACCACCTTGGCAGCTGAGCCAGGCAGGAACAGAGAACAGCAAACACTTTCCAGCCAGTGGTAAGAGCCACAGACCTAGGAGAAGTCAGGAGGACTTGGGAGTTGAGGTCAGCCATGTTACCAGCCAACTGGTGAGGGGTCTGTCCAGCTCTTTCACAGATAGCATCCAGGAGACAGGTCTCCCTCAACCCTCAGAGCCCATATAGAAGTCAAAAACTGGGCTCGGCGCCTATAGCTCAACTGGCTAAGGCGCCAGCCACGTACACCTAAGGTGGTGGGTTCGAATCCCCAGCCCGGACCCGCCAAACAACAATGACG